TCATCAATAAAACGTGCTTCTTCTGCATTTAAATCACGTTTACCAAAGAGATTTGACAAGTTAATACCATTAACACCAATACCGGCAAGAGCTTGAGCAGCCATCAGAGAAAGTCCTAAAAGAATTTTTTTTTTGTTCATAAAAATCTTGATAATAATTGATTTTAATTTACCTTGAATAGCATTTTGAAGAGGTGGTTTTACTGCATTGTTCCATAAATCATCAATGAAATCTCGAAGTTCAACATTAGATAAATGAATTGTGCGACCACCAGGAGCAGGAATACCTGTTTGAGCAATACCAGCTAAAACTTGTGCACTTAATAGAGCCATATCTTTAATAAAAATATAAAATTGATTTATTTTTTTCTTGGAATTTAATTAATAAATCTAGAGTAATACAAACTTTGGACAATATGATTAAGTGGTGGATAGACAACTTGAGCATAAAAATCGACGAGGGCGCTGAAAAGACGGGGTTCTGTTTCAATCGAACGTTTTTTAGCATCAGATAGATGATAAGCATAACTTGATGCAACAAGACCAACAACAAGTAGAACAATCAATTGGGAACGCATCTTTGCTAAACGATATATTTTATTATAGAAATAAGATTTTTTTTAAAAAAAAAACGAATAATATTAATGAATTGTATTTATCTTACCCTTTCGTTAAGTGATTGACTGAAAGAATTAAATTATTTTAGTTTAATTCATCTCTTTTTATATATGTCTTTTATCAGATAAAAATTGGACTATGTGGGCTGTCAGTTGCTTTTTTTTCTCATGCTAGAATACATTTTCACAGACATCCGGTGCTTATTTCCATAACTCTTTGCCTACACAATATTTTTTATTTTAATCAAATAATATATTTCAATTGGTTTTTTTTTGAAGGCATCTCGTTTATCAAGAATCCCTTTTTTTTTTTTTGTCTTTTTTATCTTTATTTACTAATAAATCTATTATAAAAAAATGAATAGTATACAACCTCGATTAGATTTATTTTTGCTTTTCAACAAAATACTATAAGTAAAATACTAACGTCATTAATGGATATTTAGACAAGTTTTACTTAGTTTTATTTTATATTTATATGCATTTTAAATGGATTTTACTCCGATCGTTAGTAAAAAAAAACAAAATCGTCTTCTATTATTTGATAATGATGAAATCTTTAAAGAATATTTAAAATATTCAATTTTATCAATAAGACAAGAGCATAAATTGACTAAAAAATAATCTTTAAATATAAAAGACATATGATTTTATATGAAAAAAAAAAGTGAATATTTAATTAATATAAAAAAGAAAAATAAATAAAATAATATTGTTGATTTAATCAGGATAATAATTAAGTACTTTTGATCGTTCTCGTTGACAATCTAAACAACGACAATCAGGTAAAGCAGATGAATTATTTATATCATAAAATCGTCTATTTATTCTTCCTGTTGTTATATTATAACGATCAGTATGAACTTCTTTTTGATATATATGTGGATAACCATCATCATCAATTATAGATCTTTGATTAGAAAAATCTATTGGAGATACTCCACGAGTTTTTGTTGAAGGTTGATCAGTTTGAGAACTACGTGCTTTTCTTTCTATTAAAGGTATTGGAAGTTGAGATTGATCTGATATATAATAAGGAACATCTGATTGACGATCATTTTGAGAATAGAAATAACCTGTTCCTTGTTGTTGTTGTTGTTGTTGTTGTTGTTGAGATGGTTGTAATCCTGATGATGGAGGATATGGATATACATGATATTGTATTACTGGTGGTAGAGCATTTACTCCTGCTGATTTCGGAGTAAAATGATATACTTCAAGACGACTTAGATCACCATTTTTTTTTATGTGAACTAATTATATCAGAATTTGATCGCATTTGTGTATATTGACCAGGATTTTCATAAGGAAGATTAGTTGATGATGGAAGAACATATGGTTGTGAGTTAGGATAATATGTACCCGATCCATATGGATCTACTGGTAATTGAGTTGGTTGAGAATAAGGAATATATTCATTTTGAATTGGTTGGGAATTATCGGGTGGTTGTAGAAAAGGTTCTCTTTCTCTCATTTCAAGAACATAAGTGTCATAAGCACCATCATAACGTGGATAATAATATTGTGGTACACGTGTGAGAGAAGGATTTCTTTGATCATTTATCGGAGGAAGAGAAGAAGGAAGATTAGAATTGACTGGAGGAGGTGGCATCATCATTGCACGATAAGGTGATGATGGATCATACGATTTTAAATAAGCACCATTCTCTAAACCTAATCGATTAGGATTTTGTTGCATTTTTTTACCGGTAAAATAAATCTTTTCGTTTGACTTTGTTTTTTTCTTCTCTCTCACTCAAAATAAGAAAAAAAACTCGATTTAATCATGTGAAAATGCGTTATTTTTTTTTTAATGGTTAAATAAGAGAATCGCAACAGTAATAATAAGAATAACAACGTTTTCATTTACATAACCTACAGAAATCTTATTTATTCTTCGTTGGTTTATTTTCGTTACTAACAACAATTTCGATTGAATTAATTGACAACTTTGTTTATATCAAAAAGTCTTTATAGTATATAGATTTATATTATTTTATATCTATATGAGATATAAATCGAGAAATATTTATTAAAATATTATTATCTATTCTGTAATTGATACCATTTTGGAGTAACATAGTGATAATCAATTTGTCTATGTGATTTTGGTCCATGAACAGAATTAATTGGCATATACCACCAACGAGGATCATATGTTTCTCCATATCGATCATAACGATAAAGATTATTATTTAATGATTCATCTTTATTATTGATAGAATGATAATTATCATATTCTCTATATTCATATCTATTATATTTATCATAATGATGATAAATATGTGGGATATGAAGATATTCTTCATCATCTTTTTGTGTTGTTTCAATTATTTTTTTTGGTTTTGTATGATGTTGATGAGGAGAATTTGAATATTTAATTTGATTCTCTACTGATTTATCGATGTCAACTATTTATATATAAATAATAGTCTGATGAAATAATAAAATAAAATAAAATAAAATAACATTACCAACACCTGTTGGTATTAAAGGTTGATTAGTTGGTGTTTGATTATCGAATGTATGAGTGGATATTTGAGCAAATTTTCCATCAATATGAGAAAATAATCGATTTTTATTTTGTTCATCTGTATTTTTATGTTTGTTTATTGGAGTATGATGAGCTTTTTTCTTTGACATTTTATATTAAGATTAGAAAGTGAAATGAATGTCTCATGTTTATTTCCCCTCTATTCTTTTCTTTTATGTACACAATATGAAAGAATAAATAATAACTTTATTAAAAATAAAAAAATAACATCAGATTTGTTTTACTTGTAGAATTCTTGTTCGTTTTTTTTTCATCATAAATTTCGAAGTATGTTAACAGCATCCACAAAAATTCCTGTTTTTCATTTGTCGACATTTAAAGGTTCTCTAATCGAATGACATAGAAACAAAAATTTTTCATGTTTTTTTCGATCCTTAAAAAACAGGCAATTTTCGATGATCACCTATACAAAAAAGTCAGATTCTACAGGTCTATTGTGTTGTGTGGGTCATCAATGCATCCTTCTACCCATTTTAAGTAGTTTACCATGTTTATTAAAATGAACTTTTTTAGAGAAAAATTCAAGTTTTTCTTCGAAACACTTCGATCAATGAAGTTGAAATTTTTTGTGTGACAATTAGGACCAAATGGGGGTGTATATGTTTTTTCGTTTCTTAAAATAATCTTCTGCTGATTTTTAACAGATCTTAGAAAATTTTCCCTAGAGAAAAAAAAACATGTATTTTGACAGAACTTCCGGTATTTCAGTTTTCTTAAGGAAAGGAAACAATATTTTACAGTTTGCGAGAGAGACAAGTTCAGGTTATTATTGTCTGATGCACCCCTCAATATCTCATAGAAGGAAGCATCTGGGAATTTCGAGTCTATGACAAGGTTGATTCTATTAGTCGAGTTGTATCTATCCTAAAAGTTTCATAATTTTTGATCGAGTCATCGTTGATAAATCTGGTAGAGGAAGCAGATTTTGTTAAATGAAAATAAATTTATTTATTTGTTGAACAATGTTGATAACATAAACAACATTTAAGAAGCATAGCAGCAATATCGTCGTCAAAATATTCTCGAATTTTATGATAAAAATCTAAACATTTTTCAACATCTTTTCTTGCATTTTGATATTTTTTCCCCGGATATTCAATTGGATAATGTAATGATGATTGATTCTCTCGTTTTTTTGCTATACTATTTGATTGAAGAGTTTTTCTATAAAAATTTTCATTTGAATCAAATGAATCTTCTGATAAATCTGAATCTAATAGAATTGAAATAAAATAAATATTTGTTTGTTTTTTTCTATATTATTTATAAATATAATTATTTACCTGATGATATGCTTTTATTATCATCTTCGATATCGATTGAAGATTTTTTCGATTTATTTTCAATATCTGTCAATGGAATAAATTTATCTATTAATATATTAAATAATAAATCTATGTTTAATATCTAATAGATAAATGATTACTTGATTTTTTATCATTATTTTCTTTACTATTTAATGAATTTATAGATTGTTTACCAGTTTTTATTTTATTTTTATCACGAATTTTTGAAGGTTCTAAAAATAAAAATAAATTATTCTTATTTATCTAGGAAATATTTCTATTAAGATAAAAGAAAAATTTACTTTTGTTATTTTTGTTTTGTTTTTTGTGAATATTATTTGGTAAATGAATAAATGATTGTGATGAACTTGGTGATAAAATAAAATGTTGAGATGTTTTATTTATTCTAGTTTTATATGATGATAAACTATGATTATCATCTTTATATGATTTCATTGAAATATAATCATTCACTTTTTTAGATTTATCTTTATTCATATTATTTTCTTTTGCTTTATCAGATCGATTTACATAATTGAACTCATTTTTATCAAAACAATCCATCGCTTCTTTCTAATAAAAAACAATATTTTATCTTCAATGTTACAGAATAAGATTTTTCAAATTCTATTATCAAATTTGATTTATCTATTTGATTAAAAGACAGCTGACTGCATAAAGTAGAGTAGCTGATTTGATAATTTCACCATGATAACATTTATCTTCTCAATGCATTAGGAACAACTAAAGTTAACTATTTGTTCTTCACATCTAATCATCATTTTTAAATAAGAATAAATCAAACAAATAGCTGTCAGTTTACTGAAAGTCTAACATATTGAAATCCGATATATCATACAGAATCGGATTCTGTTATTTTTCAGGTTGATAGAGTCACTCACTTTTTCTACTCTGGATTTGTTCGAGTGTCAGTCTAGTTAGTTTTTATATTCTTTATTTAAATATTAAGATTATTTTTAGAAATAAATATTGAAAGTATATAACATGTTTTTATATAAGGATTAAACTAATTTAGTATATTCGCTTTTTTTTTCTATATTGTTCCGAATGCTGTTTGTCCTACTGGACGAGACAAACAAGATTTTAGTATTAACAATAATAGATAAAAAAAAGGTGTTTACTATAATATCTGAACTAAGCCATCGAATAATATCATTTGGTGTTAACCATGGAGTTTTAGACATTATTTGTCGAATTAATGATGGAAGACAACAACATAATAGAGCTATTTCTTCTTCACCTATTTTATAACGTATATTATTAATAATTTCATCTGTAATCATTTTTATACAATTTTCCGATGGAATAGATAAATATTGAACATGGCCTGTTTCTCTATTTAATATTGGTTGCATTGGAGCTCGATTTCCATCAATAGAACTTGAATGACAGACATAATCACAACCTGATTTCGTTGGAGAAATACCAGAAAGAGTATTCGAACAAGTTGGTTCTTTGCAACATAGGAGTGGTACTCGAATATTCTCGATACCATATGATGAACAAATTGGATTTGTTGAAGTAGTATAACAAGGTTTATATTTATCAGACGAACATTCTCTACAAGCATTATGTTAGAAAAATGATTAAAAATAAAAATAATTTTGATAAATTCATCTTTTATCTTGGTTAAGAATAAAAATATTTACAAATATCAACATACTCTTGTGAAAAAGTGGCAAATCCGCTAATAGGATAATGACAAGTTTGTTCAATGCGACAACGTTCTCGAAGAATTGATCGACAATTTTCACCAATTGAATTTATTGGTATTGATGATGATGCGTTATTCATCAGATTTCATCAATTTTAGCTTTTTTATTATAAACATTTTTTTTCTTTATATTATCAAATAAAGTAAAACTATTTATCATTTATAGCTTCTATCAAACACAGATTCAAATTAAATTAATATTCCCACATATTCATCATAACCAAAACAAAAATATATTCACAATTAGTTTTTGTTGGCGCATTTTCTTTCAATGAACTTTTTATTATTCTAAATCTACTTAACATTTTATTTAATATATCAATCGAAAGAAGAAAAAAAACGATTTATTCAACTTATTAGCAACACTATTTAATTAAACCAATCTAATAAACATACCTTTTGTTATTAAATTCTTTCGTCACTCTTATTATGCGTTTGCTGCACTTCTGTGGATAATATAGATTGAGTTTGAAATTCATAGATTGTAATTAAATGCTTTATAAACTATTGAACATCTATTAACAAGTTCTTTGCAGTTCAACGAATCGGAACTGTACTTTGTGTGCAATGTGTATTCAAAAATAATTTTTTTTTTACTAACAGATTTACACTATTCTGAATAATATGTTTATACTAGAGAAAATCCGTGCATACTGCATGATTATTTGTTTTTCATCACTGAAAACAACCTCTTTCTGACGGTGAGAAAATTTTCAAAGACATTGTTAGAATCCTTACCTTCACAGTTTCCACACAAGTTATTTCTGTGGGTAGGTGCATGTGCACGGTTCTACCTTTGAGCTAAGAATGTTAGATGTAGGTGTACTGTGGACGTTACTTCATGATCTCAAATACAATCGCAATCTTATCCACTCACACATCAAATCATAAACACATTCACTCGAGCTCAACAGTACTCCTTCACTCCATACCATACGCCCCTCACCTACACATTATACCTATACCCAACACCTTTACTCCACACCTTACATCAGTCCTCACTCACTTACTCTCACTCCACCACACTCTACACCAATCCTTACCCTTCCCACTCTCGCTCTTCCGCACCTTACACCAGCTCTCACCCAACCACTCTCACTCCACTACCTCCCGACTTTTAAGCT